TGCCACAGAGTGACCATGTGAGCTCGGGCCAGGAATGCGTGTGTTCAGGGACAGAGCAGAAGAGCCCCGCCTGAGCCCTCCAGTGGCAGCTGACCCATCTCTACCCCCCCCCCCCCCCTCCCTCCCCCAGAGGACCACAAGCTGGTGTTCCTACAGCAGGGCCCACTGCTGCTGGTGGCCGTGTCAAGGACTCCTCAGTCAGCAGCCCAGCTACGGGGGGAGCTGCTAGCCGTGCATGCGCAGATCGTGAGCACGCTCACGCGTGCAAGTGTGGCCCGCATCTTCGCGCGCAAGCAGAACTACGACCTCCGCCGCCTGCTGGCGGGTTCGGAGCGCACCCTAGACCGGCTCCTGGACAGCGTGGAGCGGGACCCCGGGGCCCTGCTGCTGGGCGCCGTGCGCTGCGTGCCTCTGGCTCGCCCACTGCGGGAAGCACTGGGTGCGCTGCTACGGCGGTGCACGGCGCCTGGCCTGGCCCTCTCGCTGCTGGCGATCGGAGGCCGGCTGGTGACGGCGGCTCAGGAGCGGACTGTGTTAGCCGAGTGCCGGCTGGACCCAGCCGACCTGCAGTTGCTGCTCGACTGGGTGGGGGCGCCGGCCTTTGCGGCGGGGGAGGCGTGGGCACCTGTGTGCCTGCCCCGCTTCAACCCCGATGGTTTCTTCTACGCTTACGTGGCGCGCCTGGACGCCATGCCGGTCTGTCTGCTGCTGCTTGGCACCGACCCCGAGGCCTTCCATGACATGGCCACCTGCAGGCGCCTGCTGGAGGAGGGCATGCACGGCCTTGGTGCCATGCGGGCCCTGGGGGAGGCTGCCAGCTTCTCGAGCGCCCCAGCAACCAGTGCTCCCGCCTACAGCGTGCAGGCTGTGGGGGCGCCCGGCCTCCGACACTTCCTCTATAAGCCGCTCGATATCCCCGACCATCACCGGCAGCTGCCTCAGTTTACCAGGTAGGCCCGGACCCTGTGGGCAGTTGGCTGGGCAGGAGGCCTTATCTAGCTAAAAAGTTCAGCGTCTCATAGCCATGAGGTGGGAGAGAGCCAGGCATTCCCCAGGAGGATGGAATCAAATGGGTGTCTGTCCACTGAGGGAGGCTCAACCACCAGCCTCAAGGAGTCCCTCATTCTGATGAAGAAGAGGGCCCCAGTACTCATGGAACCCCCCGGTCGCTGGGCCAGCTGGGCCTCCAGCCACTGAAAAACCTCAAGTCTAATGGGGGCGGCTGGGCTCCCTCATTTAATTGAACTCCCTAGACTGAGGGGAGACAGGCCAGCCAAGCAAGCCTCTGATTGCCCTTGGCCTCTCCTCCCTCCATCCTGGCAGCCCTGAGCTGGAGGCACCGTACAGCAGAGAGCAGGAGCGGCAGCGCCTGTCCGACCTCTACCACCGACTGCATGCGCGCCTCCACAGCCCCTCCAGGCCCCTGCGCCTCATTTACCACGTGGCTGAGCGGGAGACGCTGCTGGCCTGGGTGAGTCGGCTAGGGGTCTGGAAGAGTTCATTCCTGACTTGAAGCCCCCTTTTCCTCCACTCTGTTGCCTCTGACCATGCCTCTGCCTGCATCCCTGTTCCTACCGTTACACGGGTGTCTTTGAAACCCTAAGGATTGCATGGTCTACAACCCTCCGGTACCCACTGTTCTTTTCCTTGTTCCCGCATTAGCTACCAGTACAGTGTCTCTGACTTGGAAGAGGTCCCATTAACAACCATCAGCATGCCCTTTATTTTCTCAGTAGCCCTGCCCGTGTGTCTACCAGTTCAATTTTCGCTCTGGGAGTCCCCAATACTCTTGAACACTACAGGCTTGGTCCCGGGCTGTGCTTTCTACCTGGGGTTTCCTTCCCTGGGGTCTTCAGGGCTCCTCTCCTCATTCCCATGGGTCGATTAAGGGTCAGCCATTCAGGGAGTTTGACCAAGGTGACCCCATTGGAAATGGCACCTTCCCTCAGGCTCTGCCATTTGGCAGACATGTATTAAATCATTTATTGTATGCTTACTGGGTGTGAGGCACTGTTCTCACCTGAGGATTTTATTATTTTTAAATTTTTTTAACTTCCATTTCCAAGCAATTTTAGACTTACAAAGAAGCTGCAAAATAGTACAAATAATTACTGTAAATAGGTTCTTCACCTAGTTTCTCCAGATGTTAACCACAGGAGCTTATTAAAATCAGGAAATTAATACCAATACAACAACATCTAATCCACAGACTTCATTCAGATCTCACCAGTTGGCCCACTAATGTCCTTCTACTGGTCCCGAATCCAGTCCAGGATCTTATGTTGGTTTATTTATTGTTATCTCCTTAGTCTCAGTGATTCTAGAATCCTTTCTCGGTCTTTTTTGCATGTCCTTGACACTTTTAAAGAGTACCAGCTAGTTTGTAGGATGTCCCTCAACTTGCGGTTTTCTAATATTTTATCATGACTGAATTAAGGTCATGCATTTTGGGCAAGAATATCCCAAGAGTGAGTGATATGCCCTTCTCTGCACCTGCTCAGGAGATCCACAGTGTCATTTGTCCCACTGTTGATGTAACTTAGATCACTTGGTTAAGGTGCTGTCTCCCAGATTTCTCCACTACAAAGTTAGTGTTTTCCCCCTTTATAATTAGTAAGTATCTTGTGGGGATTATGTCAGGTTTCTGTTCTCCATCACACTTTCATCCCCTGATTTTAATAGCCAGTAATGATTCTTGTCTGCAACAGTTACTACTCTAGTGTTTGCCACCTGGTGATTTTTGAACTCTGTCATCCCTTCTACATTTATTGGTTGGGATTCTGCTACTATATGGAAGAACTTTTCCTCCCCCTGTTTATTTGTTGAATTTTTAATTTTATAGCAATATTGTCTCATGGATTTTTCTTTAAGTTAGTGGGCTACAAGCCTTTTCTGTCATTTATTTTGGTGCTCAAATTATCTCAATTTAGCTGGGCTGGGCCCTGTGTCTTTTTTTTATACGTCTCTATCGCTGTCTGAGCATTCCTGTTTTCTGGCACACGACGTTCCAGGCTCATCATGCACTTTCTCTGTGCCAGTCCTGGAATCAGCCATTTGTCCAAGGAGCCCTTGTTCCTTTTGGTGGAAAATGGCATTTGAAAACCAAGATATGGTAGGCCCAGGATTTTAAATTGGGTTGTCAGGGGATGACTCACTGGAGAGATGGCATCTGAGGGGGAGGTGGTGGGCTATGTGGGTATCTGGAGGGAGAGGGGAAGGACTGTGCAAATGCTGTGAGGTGAGACAGAACCTGTATGTTTGAGGAATAGCAGGGAGAGGTAAGAGTGGCCCGGAACAGAGTGAGCGAGGGGGGAGCAGTGAGGGAGGTGATACAGGAAGGTACAGTGACCTGGTCAGGTTAGGCCTCTGGTTGGTAGAAGGATTAAATTGCCCAGGCTACAAAGGATGAAAACAGGTATGTGGAGCTGAGAACCGAACCTTGTATATGACAACTGCTCAGTAAATGTTAAGCATTGTTGTTTTCCCCAGTCCACAGATGAGCAAACTGAGATCTAGGGAGTATGAACACACACACACACACACACACACACACACACACACACACACAGCCAGCGTTACCCAGTTGAAGCCACTAGATCAGCTGATTCCTTGGCCCTACTGAAAACCCCTGGCCCACCGTGACACAGTATTAGTTTACCAATTTTAGCCCAGTGACCAGGTAGCACCCGGTGGGAACTCTTGCCAGATGGCTTTTCCAAATAAGAGACAGGCATGGGGCTCGGGTGGGGTGGACAGGACTGGGCATGGTCAGCTCTGGTCTGACTGTGTCTCCTCTCAAACCTGCAGGTGACTTCCAAATTTGAACTCTATACCTGTCTCAGCCCCCTGGTGACAAAGGCAGGTGCCATCTTGGTAGTGACCAAACTCCTGCGCTGGGTGAAGAAAGAGGAGGATCGACTCTTCATTCGTTACCCACCCAAGTACTCCACACCCCCAGCAGCCCCAGCTGCCTCTACAGACCAACCTTCCCATAACGGCTTGTTCCCTGGACCTTGAGAGGCGGAGTTCTCAGATTGGGCAGTGCTGAGAAACACCACCTTTGGTTTTTACCTTCTGTCTCTACCCTGGAAAAGGGGCAGGAGGGACAGAGGAAAGGCTGCTTCCCCGGCCCCGTCATGCTCCTCCACCTCTGGGGAAATCCTTTGGCCCCTCTGCCTCACCTCTATCACTTGGATGATACTCCTCTGTCAGGGGCTGTCTCCTCCAGTCCTGGGCACCACACCTTCTGTCCTGCATCGGGAGTCTGCCTCCTTGATGGGCTCTCATCCCTAAGTGTCTAGGGTTGGCCAGGGTCCCTTTGGGTGGTCCACAGAGGCTCTGGAATCGGGAATGCATGGCCAGCCTTCATGAAAGGCTTTAAGAAAGAAACAGTACATAAAAGACCTAAAATCAATTGCCACAAGGACATTCCTTTGCCCATCATGTACTTCATCTTTACCTGGGCAAAAGTGGCCCCCATCAACGTTGGCTGCTGCTGATATCGGTGAGAAGGTGGCCTCCAGGGCAGAACACCTGACTTAACAGGTGGCTGAGATCCAGACATCCTGCATGGGAGGTGCACTCGGCTTCTAAGGCTCATTGAACTCATTTGTCAAGCGCAGAAAACCTCGCATAGGCTGTTACGTGAGGATTTGTGAACGAAAGGGGACTCGAACTCCTGGGTACCACCGAACAGCTCATGTATATTTGTCTCGGACTTCCACAACCTGCACCACACGGCAACCCAGAGAGGGCAAGGCTTCCCTAGAGTTCATATGTGTGTGCACAGCACTCCCTCCTCAACCCACCAAGACCCAGTTGTGCCCGTTCCCCTACACTGGAGTTGGGGGACGCGAGGTTAGGCATGCGCGCTAACTGTCGTTCAGGGGCCCGCGTCCGTGCCTGGCTAGAGCCGAACTCTCACTGCTCCTCCCGCCCGGTGGACTGACGAGCAGACGCGCAGTACCCGCATGCGCGCTGCAGAGCCTGTGTCCCTCGCGTTGTTTTTTTGGTTTTTTTGACCAATTGTCATCCAGGGTGCACGCAAGCGCAAACCCCACGTTGGAAAATGGCAGGCAAGTTGGAGCCTTTGAAAACGGAGGCCCCCGAAGTCGTCAAGGAGCCTGAGGAGGCTGAAGGTAGGGAGGGCGAGCCAGCCTCTCCCTGGCCAGGGCAGACGGGAGGGAGCCTTGTCCCGTTACAGTAATAAAATATTAATAGTGTACTAAAAAAATTAATTTAAGCTTTTTATAAAAACAAAAAACTGTTCACCAAAGGGGAGAAAAATAACATGCATATTCTTATCGTCTAGATTAACTCAGCTTTATCGGGTATATTGGTTTAAGTGTTTCGAAGAAACAATAGACTATTTCAATATGCATCTCTTCAGACAAAAAGCGGGGATGGATGTCACACAAACCACTCTGCTCCTGCCACACCGAGGAAAAGCAACAGTAATTCCCCAGTATCATTTCACACCCCGCCCATATCACATTTCACATGGACTCTTAAGTCTGAATGAGAGTGACCTCTCCCATGGATGGCTCCTTTCCTTGGGGCGCTTTGTCAATAATGACACCCCCACCCTAGTGAGGGGGAGGGGATTGCTCTAAGGATAATTAGAAATTACCGCGTAGCCGGAAGAAGAAACCCTCCCAATTATGTGATCCACCGCTATGCCACTAACTCTTTTTTTTTTTTTAATTGTAGACATTTTTGGAATGTACCAAAGTACAGCAAATAATATGGTGAAGGCCCATGTACCCACCACTCTTGTTTCAACAGCTCTGGACTTTCTGCCCTCCTTTGATCTATCTTTGTTCCCCTTCCTGCATACCCTTTAAACTACTGTATTAATAATAACATTTGGACTGCATCTTTCCAGATCTATCTATGCAGACACCAACAGTAATTATGATGGTTCACTGGTTTATTGTTATTTCTCCAGCACCTAAAACAATGCCTGCTTGGCATATAGTAGGTGCTCAGTAAATTTTTTTTTTAATTGTATAAATAGTAACTAACTGGAAGAGCTCTCTTAGGTTAGGGCTATACATTATGGGCCTTCAACAAAGGACAGTCAGAAGGTAGACAGATGCAAATAGATCTCATTTATTAAGCACTTACTATAGCACTTAAAATAGTAGCAGCTGTGCTAAAAACTATTTTCGTATCAAGCTTTCAAATTAGTCAAAATTGAGGTTCTGATGAACTTCACCAGCAAAGGAGAAAATTGAACATGTTAAGTATCATTTCTAGCCCATTGAAAATGGCTTTAAAAAGAGAGGGATAAATCTAGCTCTGATTACTCTGTGGGGAAACAGGCTCTCTTTGCCTCACTCAAAACTGACCAGTAAAGGCTTTGCTAGAAACAGTTTGGTGGAATATTTTTAGCATCTAAAATGCTATTCCATATCTTTAGTCACCATGCTTGGTCATCATAAAATGTGCAGATGTGTGGACCATGAAGGATCATTGGAGTGTTGTTGATGGAAGCAAAACACGAGGAGCAATCAGGGAAATGTCTAGATTTAGATATGTCCATGCCTATTGTGGAACGCCTGTGTGGTGGACATTGTTTTAAGCAGTAAGAAAACAATAAGATAATTAAAAATTAATTTTTTAAAAGTAAGATTATGGTTTATTGACACAGAATGAGCTTCAAAGGTGATCATACTTTTATGAGAGAAAAGCAAGTTGGGATTTAAAAAAAAAAATAAAAAGGGGGCAGTGTCAACTAGAGCCCTAAGGCATATTGCACAGTGTCTGAAGGCTATAGGCCTAACTAATGACTCTCAACAAGGAACTTAGGTTTTTAGGAGTGTGCAAAGGTGGAGGCATTTTTGTGATTTTTTGTTTGTTTGTTTTATGTTTCTTTCAGGAAAATGTGCTATATGATTTTAAAATAGAAAGGGGGAAATTTTGAATGGCATCCAAGGATCATATATTAATACTGATCAATATTAACATCCCAGTTTTGATGGTTATACTGTGGTTACCTGGCAGAGTCCTCTTTTATTTAAGAAATATACACTGGAATATTAAGGAATAATGGGCCATGATGCCTGCAATATATGGTACAGAAATGCTCACAAATGAGAAATCTAATACACAGGCAAATAGGAGCACTGTGGCCTTTTTCTACCACTTTTATGCACATTTGAAATTATTTCAAAATAAAATGTTAAAAAGGACTCATGCTGTACAGACTGTTTCGTAATATGGATTTCTCAGAAATTTTTATCAAGATGTTAGTTGGGTTATTTAAGAGATTTACTGATCACTCATGATTTGGACTAGAAATGGAGAGGAAAAATACAGATGGAGCTTTTGCAGAAATGATTACAAAAACCAGCTGTGAAAAACAAGGGGACAATTGAGAAATCCCATTTGTCTTGTCTGGGCACTGGATGATACTACATGATGATTGTTAGTGTAATGACAGGATTGGAGTTATCTAAGAAAATGGACTCAAGTAGTTGAGACTCTTAATGAAATATCTGGGGATGAAATATCATAAAGCATAGGGCTTGCTTGAAAATACCGCAGCACAGGAAAAACAGCTGAAGCAAATATGGATGAATATTAATGGCTGTCAGATCTTAACAATATGCATAATCGAGCTCATCAGGTGTCCTCTCTATTTTCATGTGTATTTGGAAATTTTCATATGCAATACTACAAAGAAAATAATTGTAAATACTTGCCCTTGTTAATAAAGTAGCTTTAATTTTTTTGTTTCATTTCCAAATATTAAAAGAGTATTGTGGAAATTAAAAAGTCTCAGGAGGAGACATATCCGTTAGTATGGATTATATTGGAGAAAGGCAGGAAGATTTAGGGCCAACGAGAGAAGGGGAGGTTTCATTTTTGACTTCACATATTTTGTAGTGTTTGAATGTTTTGGGGGGTAAGAAAGTAAAAAAGGAATACATGAAATACATTTTACTAAAAGATCTGAGTGTGTTCACCAAACTGTTGGCAGTAGTTACCTTTGGGAAGGGAAGTGACTCACTGAAGAAGGGGTTGTTCCTGAGAGGAAGCTGTTACTTTTTCGTCCATGTTTTTCTACTTTTGTTTATTAGTTAAATTCAAATGCAAAATTAACTTAATGCATACTAATTTGTAAATGATTTGAGACATGTAAAGAAAGTGAATATACCACCAAAACACCATACCACCAAACATTTTAGCAAAACTTAAATTTACAACATGATTTTTTTTTTAAAGACTTATTTATTTACTTATTTGAGAGAGTGGGTAGGGGTGTGGTGGGGGTGGGAAGGAAGGAGAGAAAGTCTCAAGCAGGCTCTGCATTAAGTGTGGAACTCAACATGGAGCTTGATTTCATGACCCTGAGATCAAGACCCGAGCCGAAACCAAGAGTTGGAAGCTTAACCGACTGCATCACCCAGGCATCCCTACAACATGATTTTTAATGGCTACAAAAGATTTCATCCTATGAATGTGCTATAATTAACTAAAATATCTTTAGGTTGCTTCAGTTTTTTAAGATTAGAAATAATGAACAACTTGCCCACCATCATTTATTTCCTTGAGATAGATTCCTAGATATGGAATTTCTGATCTAGAGGATTTGAGTAATATTTTTGGTATTTACTACCAAAAAGGTTGAAATGTAATACTGATTTTGCCTGTCAGATTGGCACAAATGAAGAAGTTGGAAAACATAGTTGGCTGGTAAAGAAAACGGGGAAGGAATGTTTTACGGGCCTGCTTGAAACAAGTGGAGAGCAATTTCATAAAACCAGTCAAATTTGGTAATAACACCTGCTCTTTGATCCACCAGATGGCCTAGTAGGAATTTATCCAGTAAATATACTCCCATGCATGCACAAAAAGAATGTATAGGGATGGTTTTCTTGTTGAATTGTGTCCCTCCCAAAATTTATGTCTATCAAAACCTAAAAATGTGGTCTTATTTGGAAATAGGGTCTGTGTAGATATAACTAGGTAAGATGAAGTCATCCTGGATTAGGATGGGCCCTAATCCAATGACTGGTATCCCTACAAGGAGAGGGAAACTTGCGCATAGAGAAATACACAGAATGCCAGGTGAAGAGCCAGCCTACATCAGGGCTGGGGCAGAGTGCTGGCTGGGTTTGAGGTTCAACCCCCAGTCCAGGCCATCTGCAACTAAAATACTATGACCCATTGGTCTGTTTGGTCTGTTCCAAATAAAAGAGAACCTCTCCTTCCTCCAGCCTGGCACGCTCCTTCCCCCCATGGCCACCTGCACTGGAGCTGCTGCCTAGGCTAAAATTAGGTAGAGAAATCACAGGACTGGAAATGCAGAGTCTTCCAGATGACTGGAAGTCATCTCCATACAGAGCCCTGAAATTGGGACTGAAAGAAGTTAGAGATAGTTCTCTAAAAGGAAGACCCATTTTGTGGTACTTTGTTATGGCAGCCCAAGAAAACTAATAGAGATGGTCACTGTGGCATTGTTTTTAAAAGCAAAAGAAGGGAAACAACCTGAAGATCTATGAGTAGGCGACTTCTCTTAAATTATGGTCTATCCTTTCAGTGGACCATTATGAAGCCACTGAAAAGAATAAAAAGATCACTGGATACACAGTCAAATGAAAAATAAGATGTAGAGCACCATTTATGACACAACACCACTTAAATGGCATGAGTGGACTTGTGAATTTAATTATCTCCAACTACACAACAGATAGCTTGTAACACTAGTGGTCTCTGAAGGGGAAGTGAGGAAGTTAGGGTCTGAGGAGGAGGAATTTTGCACTGTAACTGTGAGTAAGCATATCTTCCTTTACCTTGGGACTATCATATGCGTTTTGTGAGCTGCCTTTCATTTTCTCTGTCCAGTGTTCCTTGGAGAGGAGTGGGTCACTGGACTTTGACCTTTTATCATTGATTTCAAGAGTTTAAGATGTTAACATTGTTCCTGTGGGTTTTGTTGTCGTTGCTGTTACAATTTTAAAAGAACACAGGCTTATGTTAAATACATGTAGAAGTATCTACGGTGAAAAGTATCTTTGAATCAGGATCCAAATAAGGTCTTTTCCTCACAATTGAATGATATACGTGTCAAGTTTCTTTTAATCAATAGAGTTTCCCCTCTCCCTCTTTTTTTTTTCCTTTGCATTTTATTTGTTGAAGAAACCAAATTGCCCTGTGGTGTTTTCCAGCATCTGCATCCCCATGGTGTCACTTAACATGTTTCTCTGACCCTTTTATTTCTTCTGAGTTGGTATTTAGGTATAGAAACCTGGTAAGATTCCTGGGTTGTTTTGGTTTGGTTTGGTTTGGTTTTTGGCAAGAATCCTTCATAAGTGGTGGTGTGTTCTTTCGTGAGGAGGCTCATAATATCTGGTTGTCTTCCATTTCCTACACCCATTAGTCCTTTAAGAATTTGCAAATTGTGACCTATAATGATTTCTTTGCCCTACTGCATCAGTTAGAACTTCATACTGATTTTAAGCAGCAGCAGTGAAAGTGCTGTTTCATTTCAGTAAGGGAATGCCTGGGGTGTCCTTTGACCTCTTAGGAGAAGCTGACCATTAGGAGTCCTGATTCATCCAGCACACATCAGAAAGCTCAGGGGCAAGGGACAGGGTCTTGCAGGAGCCCTGCTCTGGCTGGAAGCTTGCCCCCCCAGCCTGTCCTCAGTTCCAGCCTAGGGCTTCCACAGAACTCACTGCGCCTTTCTCCCTCCCTTCCCCAGATAGGCCTGGACCTTTCCTCCATCCTGTAATTCTGGTTTTCATGTCCCCAGGGCAGACCAGGTCTTTGAAGATGACTGAAGACCTGCTGGCAATGGTGAAAAAGCTGCAGAAAGGTCATGCCGTCTCTTTGTGTCTGAGGCTCAGCCTGGGGTTTTGAGGCAGGCAGATGTGGTTCCAACCCAGCCCCCTCAGCTCACATCCCTGGAAAATTACCCATTACACATTATCCCTCTTGTTCAATTTAATTCTTTGAACCAAAAGTACAGCTTCAAAAATCAAGAAGTATAAGGGAATGGAAAACCCTACTCTCTTACAAACACACACACACCTGCCATCCATGTCCCTAGCTCAAGGGCTAGCAGCAACTATTTTTAAAATTCTTAGGTATTTTTCCAGAGATTAAAAAAAAAAATTCCTGGGTGTGTATTCTTTGTCCTCCCTTTTTATATACAGATGGCAAATGGCAATGCAAATGACTGCACCTTGCTTCACTTGTTGAGGGGGCCTAGGAGCCAGCCTACATCAGGGCTGGGGTAGAGTGCTGGCTGGGTTTGAAGTTCGACCCCCCAGCCCAGGCCATCTGCAACTAAAATGCTATGACCCATTGGTCTGTTTGGTCTGTTCCAAATAAAAGAGAACCTCTCCTTCCTCCAGCCCGGCACGCTCCTGCTCCCCATGGCCACCTGCATTGGAGCTGCTGCCTAGGCTAAAATTAGGTAGAGAAATCACAGGACTGGAAATGCAGAGTGATCATGACTGTCTCCAGTAAAATGAAGACCCTCGTGTTAAGTCATAATCAGCACCTTGGAGAGCATTCACTCTCCTAGAAGTTTCAGGAGATGGAAGTTGGTGGTCTCGGAAGACCAAGAGCTTGAGTTTATCAACTCCAGCACTCCAGAGCGTCAGGAGTTGGTAGTGAGACCCAGCAAGGGTTGGGAAACTTTTGCCCCAATTCTGTGCTGCTGACCTTGAAGCCAGAGAGGGATGAGGAGGAAGTCATCTTCATACAGAGCCCTCAAATTGGTACTGGGAGAAGTTAGAGATAGTTCTCCAAAGAGAGCACCCACGTTGATGGCATATATCTTCTTTCAATGTCTATCTCACCCATGCAGAATACAAACCCTGCAAGGGCCTCTTACAGAGCCCAACACACAGCAGGAACTCAATAAATGTGTTTTCATTGCTAGTATCAGAGACACTGTACCAACCCCCACCCATCTCTATCTGCCTTAGACAGCCAGGCACCTGTCTTCTCTGGCTCAGTCTTTCTTTCGTTCTGCAGAGGGAAGCCTGGCGCCACAGAATGAAGACCTGATTAACCGGATTAATGAGCTTCAGCAAGGTAAACTCCAGGACCTAAGCACTTTTTCTTCTCAGGGCCTTTGCCTGCTGTGTCCTCCTGTGGGACGCCCTTCCCCGGGGCCTCTAACAACCGCAAGTCTGTCAGCTGCCTTGGAGGCTGGCCTGGGGGACCCTACTTCAAAAGGCACCTTGCACCAGGGTGCTGTCCTTGACCAAATGTCTTCATAACATGTCTGTTCTGGTTGTCCGCTGTGTGCCAGGCACTAGCACTAAACTCCAGGACCTAGACTTCCTAGCTAGCCAGGAAGAACCTGGACTTTGAATGCCCCCACTTCCTCATCTATAGAATCCAGGCACCTCCAGGTTGTTGAAAGATGAGTGTGCAGTGTCACAGTGTGCAAGAGAGTAGCCAGGTTAGAGGCTGCACTCACACAGTGTCCTCTTCTTTGGCCCAGCAAAGAAGAAATCCAGTGACGAACTGGGAGAAGCCCAAGCTCTCTGGGAGACCCTGCATCAGGAATTGGACTCCTGTAAGTAGAACCAAAAGAGGGACCCACAGATCTTATGAGCACTGCCGATGTTCTCTGCACACCTCAGAGCCTTGGCATGGGCTGTTCCCACCATCTGCAATACTCTTACCTGTATAATACCAATTGCCTTTCGCTTTCTCAAGTCACCTTTGAGCTCTCAGCCCAAACTTCAGTCTAACAGAACTACCTTGGCGGACCCATCTAACTATGGACTACCGCCTTCCCTCTGTCACTCCCACTCCCCGGCTTTATTTGTTTCTTCACAGCCTGTATTAACACTTGATATAGTATATTTGTTTCTAGTCATCTCTCCCATTGGTATAAACCCTGTGCATTCTGCAGGGTCTTCACTCCTCTGGCACTTACAGAGAATTTGGACACTGAGGGGGAGGTGCTGGATCAGGATGGTCCCCAGGGGGGATGGGTTTGCAGGTGGCAAGAAGATACCCTGCCCTGGCACTGTGCCCTACCTTCTGTAGCTTTGATAAGCCTTTGCATGAAGTTGCAATGAGGGCACAGGATCTGGCCTCTGGAGGCTCAAAGTGCCCCTGTGTTTTCCAGTGAATGGAGAGAAAGCGCACCTAGAGGAGGTCTTGAGCAAAAAGCAAGGTATTTATCAGCTCTTCTGTCTTCGTTGTTCTACCCCATTTTACCCACAAAAGCCCACCATTCTCAGAACAGCTAGAGTCATCCCATTGAGACCTGAGTCAGGGTGCTTCCCTCTCTGCTCAGGCCTTTCCCTTAGCTGCCACCTGACGCGAAGTAGACACTAAAGGCCTCCAGGTGCCCTCCAATGTGCGATATGATGTGGGGCCCATTACTTCCACCCAATCCTGACTCCCCAAGAGGTCACACAGGGCTCCCTTGGTTCCTCTCCCCACAGAGGCACTGAGGATCCTCCAGCTGCACTGCCAAAGGAAGGACAGCAGAGCTCAGAAGTAAGAGGTCCTGCTCAACTCTTCCCCACCTTACTCCCCAACCTGAAGGAGGAGGGAGCAAAAGCTAGGGAAAATATACCTTGGACACACACTCCTCATTTTTCCTTTCTGTAAAATAGAATAGCTAGACAAGAGACTTCCCTGCTCATCTTTGATTTTGGTTGGTGGTGTGGAGATTGACTCCCTCGTTTGATCATTCATTGCTAGTTTATTAAATAAATTTCACCCACTGTTGTTAGTCTAAATCTTCTTCTATTGGCTGTCCAGCTCTTCCACCATCCATTTATTTGTTTATTCATCTGCCCATTTAGGCCTCCAGTCATCCACTTACCCACCTGTCCACCCATTCATCCATTCATCCACACAGCTATGCAATCCTTTTCCAGCCAGCCAGCCAGCCATATATGTCTCCATGTTGCAGGAGTGCACAGAGCAAATTTCTATCCATAACTCTCAGGTCACAGAGAATTGCAGGCAGAAAAAACTGGGGTAACTGCTGGGGGTAACCCCGGGTCCATGGCCCAGTGTGGTGCTGGTTGGGCATGGGAGTGGGGCTTGCATCAGGGAGTTTGTTGGAAGAGGAGCTACTGGAACCAAAGCTTGGAGGAGAAAGCCCATAAGGGGACTCCTAGTAGAGGGAGCACTGGGCAAAGATCCAAAGTCCATCCAGAGGAATCCCCTAGACTGAGCCAGGCTGTATGTCAGTCCTAGCATGTATTCTCTCATTCCTGGCTGTTGGCCCCTAGGTTGCACGTCGAAGAACAGCTGGAGAATTTGATGGGCCAGCACAAGGACCTCTGGGAATTCCACGTGAGCCATCCTCATTGCCTCCAACCACAGCCCTTCCTCTCCTGCTTTCAGTGTCTCCACTGACTGGCTCAGTGTCTATCCACTGGTCACCCCAACTCCATGGGATAGTTTTTGACTCCTTTCTTCCTCTTACCCACCTACTCAGCCCTTCAGCTTTTACCTTATATTTAGCCCCCTCTTACCATTGTCCCCATTGCCACACCGGGCTTCTATTGCCCAGACTGTTACAGTAACCATTGCTGAGCATCCTGCTTCCTTCCTGCTTACCTAGAGTTTGCTCCCCTTGCAGTGGCAAATACGAACCCTGAAAAGGCCACGGTCCGATCAACATTCCAGGCAGGAGGAGACAGTGGGGAGCCAAAGGGGCCAAGTATTTGCTTGTCCCCACTATAGTTGGGTGCAGGGGGAGGCATACTCAGACTCTAAACAAAAAAATAAGTAGATCATGTAATGTCAGTGGGGAAGGCCACTCTGAGCAGGTGACATCTGAACGCAGACATAAAGTAAGGGTGCAAATGTTGTCTTGGTGCAAATGTTCCTGGAAGAAGGAAAGGCCAATGCAAAGGCCCTGAGGCCGAAGCCAGCCTGGGGTATTTGAGAGAGCAAGAGGAGGCGGGGGGGGGGGGGGGGAAGAGATGAGATTTGAGAGGTACACGGAGACGTGGGGAGCTTTTGGAAAGGGAGACGGGTCCCTACCACCAGGCCACAGCTGGAACTGCGCATCGAGTTAATAAATAGTTGAATGAATGAATGAATGAATGAATGACATAATTCGGGTAAGGACTTGCCAAGGGGGCTGAGAGGACAAACGGACAGACAGGCCTCCTCTCTCGCAGATGTTGAAGCAGCGGCTGGCCCGGGAGATATGTGCCCTGCAGAGCAGCAAGGAGCAGTTGCTCACTGAAGGTGGGGCCCCGGTGCAGGGTTGGGGCTGAGGGGGCGGGGCCTAGTCCGCTGGAGCTCCTGGCCCTGCTCATGACGCTCCGCCCACCCGCAGAGAAACTGGCGCTGGCCAAGCTAGAGGAGGTGGAGCTGCAGCTGAGCTCGGGGCGCGCCCGGGCGGTGAACGATGGGTGAGAGGGGCAGAGAGCAAGGGCCGAAGGGGAAGGAGCAAGGAGGAGGGCAATGGGCCGACTTTCCCCCGGCACCGCCTCCAGCCGCCTCTCCGGGAAGGCCGGGCGCTGGAGCGGGTCGGCGGGGCCTCTAGGGTGCGGCGTTTCTTGCACCCCAGCCGCTCGCGGAGGCTCCGGCCGCTTGGCGTCTGAGGTCTACTACGTCGGGATCTTGGTGGCTTCCTCCCTGCGCCGGCTCCACTCTCGTTCTTTTCTTCCTCTCCGCGCCCCCTGTTCTCCAGGCTGAAGGCAGAGCTGGAGAAATTCGGGGGCCAGGGTCCTGCCCAAATCCATTGCACCCCAAAGGACGGGGCCTGCAAAGGAGAGGTAGGGAGCCCGGCGATGCGGCGAGGGGGCAGAGACGGCGGGCGGGGGTGCCCTCGGAGTCTCTTGGAGAAAGCATCAGTGGGGAGCAGGGCGCCCCGGCGGGGGACGTGACGGATAGAGTAAAGGCAGCCGCCGGCCTGCGTGCGGGGACGCCAGCGCCCTCGGGACCCGGGGCCGGCAGCCTGACTCGCCGCTCCCGCAGGCTGGCCTCGAGCGCCCCGGCGCCCGCCGCGAGGACCTGGAGCCGCCCCCAGAGCACTAGGACCCGCCCGAAGCTCCCCACTCCCACCCCCTTCGAGGCCGGCCGAGAAATAAAGGCGAGGATTTCGGACCTTCCTCCACTTCCTGCCTGAGTCTGTGCTCCCCAGGGCTTGGGGGGGCGGGGGGCTTGCTCCCGGCGGGCCGGGGGCGTGTCCAGGCACTCTGGGCGGGGCTTCGGCCGGGCTCCGCCCACCAGTCACGTGTAGGGCTCAGGAAGCTCAATGAATGTTCGCGAGCATCACAAAGGACACGTGGGTGCCGAAGCCACCCCATATCCTCGGCCTCGCGTTGGGTTCCTAACTGTTTTACCAACAAGGGCTAGAGGGAACATGTTAAAAACCCATGTAAAGTCCTGTCTGTCTCCCGTGGTTCAGAGTAAATTCCAGCCTCCCAAGAGCCCCTGCATTCCCCACAGACTCCCACTGACCTCTCAGGCTTCCCCTGCCCCCCCTCACACGTTTGGCTCCAGCCCTCCGCTTTTGCACTCTCTTCAAAGCACTTTTTCTTCTCAGGGCCTTTGCCTGCTGTGTCCTCCTGTGGGACGCCCTTCCCCGGGGCCTCTAACAACCGCAAGTCTATCAGCTGCCTTGGAGGCTGGCCTGGGGGACCCTACTTCAAAAGGCACCTTGCACCAGGGTGCTGTCCTTGACCAAACATGTCTTCATAACATGTCTGTTCTGGTTGTCCGCTGTGTGCCAGGCACTAGTGCTGGCCCTGAATTTAAATAGCATGGTCAGGGGATGTCTCACTGAGGGAGTGGTGCCAGAGCAGGGAGGTGAGGGGGCAAGTGAGGAAGGGAGCCCTGTGGACATCGGGGGAAAGGTGCCCCTGGCGGAAGGAATGGCTCGTGCAAAGGCTGTGAGGTGGGATTGAGCTTTGTTGTGCTTAAGGAACATCTGGAGGGAGCCAGTGTGGTGGAGCACGGTGAGGTAAAGAGGGAGGGGGGATAATACTGGAGAATTGCTGGGGACCCAGTCAAGTCGGGCCTTGTCTGCCTACCTAGTCTGTGTAGTGTTCTGAGAAGGGGCCCTGGCCCCCAGCCAACACTCAGCATAGGTTAGCCATCCCTTAGATTCCCTGGCCCACTGCCCACCTGCGTTAGGCCAGCCTCCAAGGATCTTTAGGGAGCCTTCCTGTCTGTCACACAGATGGGACAGCCTGGATATTCTACCGACTTACCATTTTCCTCCTAGTATTCAAATCCTGGTTTCCCTGCTCACTGGCTGAGTAACCTCAGCAAACTGATTAAGGTCTCCCAAACTCAGTTGCCAGATTTGCAAAATGATACCAACCGCACAGAAATTACTATAAACCTAGCCAACTCCTTGCTCCTCTAGGAAATCTCCCCTGAACCCACAGATAAGCTAAATTGCCTCATGTGGGTACAGTATAAGGCAATGGTTGATTGGCCCCCCCAACCAAACTCGGAAGAGTAGAGACTGACCAGCCCTATTTTTCTCCCTGGTTTCCAGTAAAAGCCCTGAAAAAAACTGCTGAAGACAAATGCCCCTTTCAGTTATTGCCTGGATATTTTTGTACATGCATGAAATCCCCTGAAATTCCTTGGATCTGAAGGCTACTGATGTTTAATTGTTAATTGTTTCCGTGTGCCGATAGTCCTTATTCTTAACTGTTTTTCTTCTTTTCTCTCATATAAAATAAATACTGGCTTATTCCATATTTCTGGAGTTCCCCAAAAGCTCCGACTTTGAGTGGTTGCTTCTTTACTCTCACACACTTCTCTTTCTCAACTGATTGTAAGTTAAGGACAGTTGTCAAATTATTCCCTGGGGAGGAAAGGATCAAATGGTGTTCCTAGTCAGGAATTCTTTCGCCTTTTCGTCTTTATTCTGTTGGGACTGTGGGTTTGGAATGGGCGAATAAAAAGACAGGAGACTGCTATTTGGGAATGTCGAGGAGCAATATGAGACGTGCACCTTTATAAGATGGAGGGAGTCCTAGATGGGAGCTGTGCTGCCCAGTGTAACAGCTCCAGGCCCCCAGGGGCCCCAAGGGGCTACCGGGCACTTGGAGCGCAGCTGGTCCAAACAGAGACACGCCCCAAGTACAAAATGCAGGCTGGATTTCAAAGACCTGGAACAAGAAAAAATTAAATGCATCCTTAATCATTCGTATGTTGATTACATATGTAAATGAGACTATTTTGTGAATAGTTATAATATTTAATATATTGGCTTAAATAAAATATTAAGGTTAAGTTCACCTTGTTTTTCCTTGTTTAATTTTTTTAATGTGGTGAGTAGAACATTTTAAGTTACATAGGTCGCTCACATTATTTTCTATTTCTGTTGGACAGCACTGTTTTATTAGAGGGTGTGGAAGGGGACTGGGCCATCCGCTGTGCCCCTGGCCCCTTTGTAGCTGTTACCTGCAGGCCACATAACTCCTGGTCTCCCGGTGTCTTGATCTCGCTTGATGCCTTTTGTGCCAGGAGCTCAGCATTGAAGACTGGAACAGTGTTTCACATGGGATGGACATGTATGCAAGGCACACACACAGCCATCTGCATCCAGATCCCTTTTCTGTGTATACATCTCAGTTTGTGGGTGAACAGATCCCACAGTCTTGCATCTCAGAAAACATTGTAGTGTATTTGAAGGGCATAATCCTGGTATATACCAGATGTCCTTGCCCACTCAGGCAAAAATGCTGATTTTTATCCCCTGAACACCTACATAAGTATAAAGTTTCTTCTAATGCCATTAGCAAGAGGTTCAGAATGGCTACACTACAAAATTATCAGGCTTCAGGAATGCATTTTATACAACCTTGGCATGCCATCCAAACTGTTGAATTGGCTAGTGAGGAGGAGGATAATCACGTGTTCTTACAATTTTATCCCACAGTTTGTGTATTAACTCTGAAGGGGGATGTGACTTTGTACTGGGGAGATAGAAATGCCTGAACCAAGGGCCAAGTGTAGCATGACCAGTCGTGGGACCAGATGAGTGGGACGTACACCTCATCACCCATGTGGGGTTCTTGGTGAAGATGTTTAACTTACGTTTAATCAATGGAAATCTGTATGGCGAGAAGTTCTATAGGACAATTACCTTGGACATCTGGAACAGGTCAGCGTCATGAAGACTGGAGATGCTCTAATGTTTTAGTTACCTATCACTGTGGTGACAAGTTACCACGACCTTGGGGGCTAAACAATACAAATTTGCTACCTCCCAGTTCTGGAGGTCAGAAGTCCCAGTTCTGGAGAGGACTCAGCTTACATTCTGGAGGACTAAACTCAGTGTCATCAGTGCTGTTCCTTCTGGGGGCTCTTAGAATCTATTCCTTACGTTTTCTCGCTTTTCAAGGTTGCCTTAAATACTTGACTCCCACACTCAGACATCTGCTTCCATCATCATGTCTCCTCTGACCCTCCTGCCTCCCTCTTAGAAGGACCCCTGTGATGCCACTAGGTAATTCAGGAAAATCCCCTAACCCAAGGCCCTTAACTAAACCATGTCTGCAAAGACCCTCTAGACACATTAGGTAACATACTCCCAGGTTCTATGGATTAATGGACATCTTTAGGGGCCATTATTCTGCCCACCACATTGGAGGACTGTTCCTGAGTGGGAGAGATCAAAGGAAATTCATGAAACTTGAATGGACCCTGGATCAAGGCTGGGAGAAAACATTGTGGGGGCCTTTGGGGAATTTAAGAATAGAGTGAAATTTGGATGATACTGTGGAATTAATGTTGATTTCTAGCAGTACTGGCAGGTGGTTGGTTGGAGAGTGTTCTTATTTTGGGGAAATGAGGGCTGAAGTAGGTTTTAAGTTTCATCATGTCTGCCACCAATGCTTGGATGGTTTGGCAGAGCAGAAGTGTGTACGTGTGTATGAGAGGGGGAGGGCGAAGTGGGTGCAGAAAGATAGTAGTCAATCTAGGGGTTTATTGTGTGGTTCTTTGTCAAAGATTTGAAATCCTTTAAAAAATCTAATAAGTGGAAAATTGGGGCTCCATTTACATGGCCCCTTCCTGTGTCCTAAATGTCCCAACGAGAAGGCCCTGAGATGGCAGATGTTTTATTTTGCATGAACATATGTAAAACCAGACTTGATCTATCCCCAATCCCTAGGAAGCCCACCCCTCTCCTTTCAGACTCTGACTTTTTCCAAAGGTGACTGTGCTTGTTCATGATGTTCTTGTTAGGTCCCAGCTCAACTCTGCCTTTTTTTTTTTTTTTTTAAGATTTATTTATTTATTTGACAGAGAGAGACACAGCGAGAAAGGGAACACAAGCAGGGGGAGTGGGAGAGGGAGAAGCAGGCTCCCCACGGAGCAGGGAGCCCGATGCGGGGCTCGATCCCAGAACCCTGGGATCGTGACCCGAGCCGAAGGCAGACGCTTAATGGCTGAGCCACCCAGGTGCCCCTCAACTCTGCCTTCTTAATGAAATTTCTTTGTTGGTATTTAGTCCCTCGGAAATGAGAAGTACATCTCAGGCTCTCCCGTGAGGTCTTTCATCTCCACCCAATCACCACTGCTGGCTGGGAGATGTTCTGACCCTCTCCTTGGCCAGGATTTCAGGAATGACAAAGGGAAACGAAGCCTGCCTGGCCTACAGCAGCCTCCATAAGGAGATGACAGCTGTCACACATGGTGGCCTTTCCTGGTCCACAACAAATCCGTGTCCTTTGGCTTTTGATTTGTCATTTGTTCTCCTAGATCAGCGGACCTCCCTCTTCCCCTGCCCCCACCTCCTCTGCCTGCAGGGCTCTGTGTTCATTTCCTGCAATTTGTTCTCAGAACTTTGCTTTGTCTTTCAGGTTCACATGTGAATGACCCCTGGGGTTGGGGGGGGGTGGCACTCAGCATTGCCAAAGGCTGAAGAGCACCTCAGAGAACTGAGCTAGAAAGGAGCTAACTGTGGCAAGTGGGCAGAGGAGCCAGAGGGAC